GACTGTGCCCTTCGTCTGACTCGGGTATCAGCGCTGCAGGCCTAGGTAGATGTATGCCAGGCGCGTCGCAGCGTAGCAGTGTTTCTTGAGATAACGGGTAGCCTGATACGCGAGACGTGGTCCGGCGTGCATCTACCTAGTATTATATTATGTACTTTATATGTATATACTACATACTTTATAACTTATCTAATGCTGTAGGTGACATCCTTCACTTTATCCCCCGTAGTTCTGAAGCTACCGGTGTTCATATGCGAGGTGATGATGGCTAGAAGTACCTCACCCCTAGTTGTTTACGTTTCAACAGGCTACGGCAGCTGGTGTGAAAGTCCGCCAACTTTGGTGCCACTAGATCTTGAGGCAGCACGTGTGATTGCGAGCGAAGTGGCTCACTCTCGATATTATCGCCGACTGACACCTGAAGCGAGGCACGTCGTCGACTTGGTCCTGATGTCAAAGTGAAGTGGGCGTCAGTAATGGCTTTCGCACGCAGAGCGCCTGCCTCTCGCCCACTCCTGGGCTTCGTACTTAAATGACAGCGGAGGCCGATGCTGCCATCGTTGCCGCCATGACGCCCACGGTGCTTGTCGTGGCGCTGCTTAGCCTGGGTGCCGCCCGCGCTGGACCGCTGCTCACTGCCGACCAGAAGTACAAGCTCCCGGATGACTTCCTTCTCGGAGCTGGGACCAGCGCGATACAGACGGAGGGCGCCTGGAATACGGACGGTGCGTCATACAACACTATCCGTTCCCTGCAGGGACCTCTCAAATGCATTTTTTTTAGTGAGCAGTGCTGATTCATCATTCATAGACTGTAAAGTCTCTAGACACTCACTTTTAGTAAGTCTTGACAAATGTAGTTTAGACAGTCTTTGGAAAGTCCTTTTCTGAAGCTGCACCTGTACTTATGGTCCTCTGTCAAATCTTGTTGGTGGACTAATGTTCCTTTGAGAAGGTACACCTGGACTTATGTTCCTTTGTCAAATCACACTGGTGGACTTATGTTCCTTTGTGAAGCTACCCCTGGACTTATGTTTCTTTGACAAATCCCACTGATGGACTTTTGTTTCTTTGTGAAGCTACACCTGGACTTATGTTCCTTTGTCAAATCCTACTGGTGGACTTACGTTTCTCTGTCAGATCCCACTGGTGAATGCGCACACCTGCGCCAACGGCAAAATTAACTTTCAGCTATGCTCTTAATGCACCTTTAGTCCTAAATCGATGCGGCGTGTAATTTTTATGTTGTGACAATTTTCCCAAAATCTTGAATTCACAGGTCTGCCCCCTTTACGTCATGTTGTCCCC